GCTGGCCTTGAGCTCACTTTGTAGCCCAGGCTGGTCTCAAACTCGCAACGATCCTCCTGCCTCAGCCTCCCAAGTGCTGGGATTACAGGCATATACCACCATACCTGGCTGCAGTAGTTATTTCTTCCTCCATTTTTCAAAATCTTCCTGCTAACAGAGCACACGACTTACCCTGTCAGTGCCCGCACTCCAAGACCCAAGATCTTGTTGGCGTCGGGCAGCTGCAGAGTAACAGGTGCCCACCCATCACCTTCTCCCGGGACAGGACTCCAAGCCGCCTGTCATCTCCCTGCAAAAGCTCATTGTGCGGGAAGTGGCCAACGAGGAGAAGGCCATGTTTCTGATCAGCGCCTCCCTGCAAGGGCCCGAGATGTACGAGATCTACACCAGCTCCAAGGAGGACCGGAACGCCTGGATGGCCCACATCCGCCGTGCCGTGGAGAGGTGAGGAGGCCTGGCCCTCCCCGTGCACTGTTCCGGATGCCTCGGGCCCCTCTGCTCTCCCGTCCCCCTGTCCTGCTGCACTGTCCAGCCATGCTCTTCTCAACAGATGGGAAAGAAGCCGGGCATAGTGGCACACACCTGTAATCCCAGCACTCGGGAGGCTGAGGCAGGAGGATCACCATAAGTTAGAGGCCAGCTGGGGCTACATAGTGAGTTCAAGGCCAGCCTGAATTTCATAGCAAGACCCTGTCTCAAAAAGAAAAGAAAAAATATATGGATGGAAAAGCCGGGCATGGTAACGAATACTTGCAAACCCAGCTACTCAGGAAGCCAGGATAGGAGGATTGCAAGTTTGAGGCCAGCCAGAACAATTGAGTGAGGGCCTGTCTCAAGATAAAAGTGAAAAGTGGCTGGAGGTGTGTCTGGTGGTAGAGCACGTGCTTGGCTGCGCAAGGAGGACTGCGGCTGTGTTCGGGTGTAGAGCGCTCACTTGACATGCACGGGCTCTGGTTTTCATCCTCAGCATGGGAGGAAAGGAAAACCAGCCAGGCACGTGGCTCACACCTGTCATCCAGGCACTCTGGGAGGCTGAGGCAGGAGGATTGCAAGTTCCAGCCCAGGCTGGGTAACAACAGTTTAGCATGACTGAAAACATTTTTCTCAAAAGGAGAACTCATTATGAAGACCCTGGGTTCCACCCCGCCATACCACCAAAAGCAAAAGGAAAAAAAAAAAAAAAAAGAAGTAAATGGACCGATGGTGCTACTCTGGCCCTGTCTGACAAGACCCCAGCCTGGACATCTGGCCAGTGGGGATGAAAGGCCAGGCAGATCTAACCTGGACCTTTCTGCACCGTGGGCCCTAGGCTGGACGCGGTGGCCCATCCCCCGCCCTCCGCCTGAGGCGAGGTCCATTGCAGCAGGGCCCGATGTCCGGTCCTCCTGCCACAGCCATGCAGTGGCGAGACCCAGGTGGCAAACAGCCGCTCGCCCAGCCGCCTCCTATTCCCGTTCCCACCTAGAGCCCCTCGTGCCCAGGAGCCGCGGCCCAGAGGGCACTGCGGCCTCCCCAGCCCCGCTGTCCCCGGCACAAGAAGGTCACAGCCTGATCGCAGAACCTGCGTCCGGCTCTGAGCCGCGCGATGCTCCTCCTCCTCCTCAGCCAGCCTGCGAGGCGCTGATGCCCCCGTCCCCTCTCCCTACAGCTGCCCCGACGAGGAGGAGGGGCCCTTCAGCGAGGCCGAGGAGGAGCGGAAGATGGTCGAAGCCCGAGCCTTGAAACTCAAGGACTTCCAAGGTAAGAGGGAGGCAGAGTCACAGGCACACCCCTCGCACGGTGACGGCAGCCGGGGGACCCCAGCGGCACCCCCATTCTGTCCATGTGGCCAGGCTGGCCTCAAGCTTCCAATTCTCCTGCCTCAGTCTCCCCAGTGGCTGGGATTGTAAATATGCACCACCACAGCTGGGATAGGAAGACATTTTCTTTACCAAGATTTTTTTTTTCCCCGTCTGGAAAAGCCAAGCTCGAGCTCCCTGGCATCATGTGAGGGGCACTCCCTGTAGAATCAGGAGCAGGGCAAGGCCACCCACCTTCACTGCCGTTATTTTCATCCCAGAGTTCCCAGCCCGAGTAAGAAGAGAAACAGGAATAAGATGTTACGGGAAACGGGTGAAGATTTATTTCTCCCATAGAACAGGATTGCTTGCCTAAAAAGTTAGTGGACCCGGGCCTGGTGGCGCATACCTGTAATCCCTGCACTGGGGAGGCTGAGGCAGGAGGATCATCACAAGTTCAAGGCTAGCCTGGGCTACCAAGTGAGCTCAAGGCCAGCCTCAACTGCATAGTGAGACGCTGTCTCAAAAAGACAAAGAAAAAGTTAGTGGAATCAACTGTGAGGCAGTCTGGACTGGTGAGATGTTTGGTTATTTCACTGGACAGGGGAGGCTTATGTACAGAGAGATGGTGTTTGTGTTTTCCACTGCTAATAACCCAGTACTGCAGTCTGGGTGAGGTATGACAAAAAGGGGTTTATTTTGGCTCCTGGTTCTGGCCCCGTGTCTGAGATGATCCTTGTGCTGCAGAGCCCTAAACGGATATGGCACTGCATGGTGAAAGACGGGGTACACCTAGAAACACACGCAGCTGGCATTTCAGTAGCTGCAAGCCGGCAGTCACGGCGTTCACTGGTCAGGCCCGTGAATGAACTAGAGCCTCGGAGGGCAGGTGGAGGGGAGACACCAGATGCAAGCCACCGCATAGGAGGCTGGGGTGCAGCTGAGCAGGACAGCATCAGCCGAGCATGCGCCGGGCCCTGGGCTCCATCCCCAACACCCCAGAAAAGAACAGTAACCGAATAAAGGAAAGCCAGGTGCAGTGCACGCCTGTCCTCCCAGCTCTCCAGCAGGATTGCAAGTTCCAGCCCAGCCTGGGCCACTTAGTGACTTAACTGGACCTTATCTCAAAATCCAATCAAATAAAGTAAAATAAAATAAATGCTATCCGTCCGGGCACATTGGGGCACACCTGTAATCCCAGCACTGAGGAGGCTGAGATAGGATTGTGAGTTCGAGGACAGCCTAAACTGTGTAGCGCGACCCTGTCTCAAAATTTTAAAAAAATTTTCATTGAAAAAAAAAACCCTGTACATAGCAGGGGAAAAAATGTCTGTAAGGGGTTTAGTAAGGGAAAACCTGTATCAAAGGCTGAAGGAAGACTTGAGAAAACTCTCAACTTCGAGGTTCCTGGTTTGACCCCAACCTGCCGGTGGCCGGGTGCTCACCGAGTGTTTATCAGGCCGGCCGGGGCCATCCTCACGCCCATGCCGGGTCCTGAGGGTCCAAGGTGCCGCTGACCATGCCCCCGGCCCCCGCAGTGCGCCTGAGCCTGAGGGACCAGCTGATCGCGCAGAGCCTCCTGGAGAAGCAGCAGATCTACCTGGAGATGGCCGAGATGAGCGGGCTCGAGGACCCTGGCCCGGCGCGCGGCCTGTTCCGTGGGGGCGAGCTCGCGGAGACCCTGCAGGGCGGACACATCCTCAGGTCCGCGGTGAGCGAGAGTAAGTGACAGCCCGTCCGGCCTAGCCCTGCGCGCACCGGCCAGGCCAGGCCCTGTGTGGCCAGCTTCCATCCGGAGGAGTGGGGCTGCTCTCGCGTCTCCGGCCGTCACCCTCTCCCCGTGCCCTGGCCCGGCCTGCGCTGCGCAGTCCGCGGGACACAGCCCCTGCCCCTCCAGAACGTCCTGAAGAACCCTGAGCAGAGACCAGAGCAGGGTTGGCTCTGACCCTCGGCCGCGCCACGCTCCCCTCACACGCCTGCCCCCGTCACACCCGAAGGGGCTGCCCCCGGGCCCGGAGCGTTCTTCACTTCCGCCCCCCATGGGGGCTGCCCTCGGCGTGGCTGTCTTTACACAAACCTGTGGCCAAAGCAGAAGCCTGGGAGGAGCCTGCGGGGACCTCCCCAGCCCCTCCCCCTGTGGGCACTCAGGTCCTGGCCGTGGCTCCGGAAGTGAGGGCGTGGGCGGAGCAGGCCTCAGCAAGGTGACTTCTTCCTCCTGTCCCCCGCAGTCGAGGGCATCCATGGCCTGATCTGCAGGCGGCTGGGCAGCATCGCCTGCCAGGCGGAAGAAGGAGGCAGCTCCGCGGGCCTGCCCCGAAGGGCTGAGACCTTCGGGGGCTACGACAGCACTGGCAGCCCCGGCAAGAGTGAGTAACGTCTGCCGCCTCCCTGCCGGCCCTGGGGCTCCCCTGAGGTTGCGTCGATGGCGGGCACATCGCAGAGCCCTCTGGGTGTTGGAGTCCCCGCCCTGTGCACAGCTCCCTGTGCCACCAAAGCCACTGCCTTGCTCAGGCAGTAGCCTAGCCTGGATCCTAGCGGGCCGGGGGCCCAAGACAGTTCCAGCACTGGTACCCACCCCGTGGGACTCACAGTGTGCTCACACACCTGGCTTGCGGTTCCAGACGGCAGTGCTAAGAAGGCCTGCAGCAGCGACCCCAGGCCCCGTGACTGGCGGGGCCCGGCCCCCAGCGTCCTGGACTCGAAGCTCAGGGAGGACGACAGCCTGGCGGGCGGCGAGGAATCTGCACAGGCGGTATGTGCCTTCCCAGGCTGCGGATTCCCGCAGTCAGGGCCGGCCCCGGTCTTCCTGCTGCCCATGCCCAGGGCGAGGCTTGGAGAGAGCAGGCGGGCCCTGCCGCCCTGGTTTGACACTTGGCGTGTTTGCAGGTGGAGGCGCCCGGTGTGGAGACAGGCCCTCGACTGCCCACCATCCTGGAGTCGGAGGTAGGTGGCGGGTTGTGCTTCTCCCGGGGACACCGTGCGGGCCTCCCAGGCCTTCGGGGAGCCCAGCGCCTGTCCTCTCGCTCTGCAGCTTGTCCAGCGGATCCAGACCCTAGCCCAGCTGCTGCTCAGCCTCCAGGTACCTGGGCGTGGAGGGGCGGGGCCGGCGCGCCCTGGCCAGACTGGCCAGGTGCGGGTGTGGCTCACCGGCCCCGCCGTCCCGCAGGCGGTCATCGCCCAGCAGGACAGCCTGGTGGAAATGCAGCGGGCCGCCATCCAGGAGCGCGAGAAGCAGTTCCGGCTGCAGTCTTCGCGCGGGAACCTGCTGCTGGAGCAGGAGCGGCAGCGCAACTTCGAGAAGCAGCGCGAGGAGCGGGCGGGCGTGGAGAAGCTGCAGAGCCAGCTGCGGCAGGAGCAGCAGCGCTGGGAGCGCGAGTGCGCCCGGCAGCGGCAGGAGCTGGAGCTCGCGGGCGCGCGGCTGCAGGAGCGCGAGG